TTATTGATTTACTTTTATATTTGTACAACAAAGGCATTTAGAACGAGCACGTATTGCACTTGATCTTGAAAATGGAATTTCAAAGTCTAAACGCGGCTTAAGCTTCAATAAATATTGGGTAGATGTGCAAGGTGAACGTTATTTACAAGTTGAACAAGTGAACAATGATCTAAATTATCCTATAGACAATGAAACAAATGATGACGAATAATATCATGAAGATAACTATAAAAAAATAAACAATATATTTTTTTAATCTTTCTCCTTCTAATTTCTATTAAATAATAAAAAAAATAAACTTAACTTACTTCATCGTAGCTCATGTTATTCGTGTAGAATTTTTGAATAGAAAAATGATCTAATTTTCTAATATTTATCAAACAACTATAGTAGATTTAAAGGTAGCATGGCAAATCAATGATCGTCACTAGAACCAGTCTTGTTGGCCTCGGATCCGAAGATTTTAAATCCGATAAGGTCTCGTCGTCTGATAAATGTCTATGCAGCACTAGTTACCGAATCCAGAAAATCGGGAAAAAAAGTATCTCATACCTTTGAAGCAAGTAGTCAATTTCAATCAGAAAATTATGATCAATATGTTCGTTGCCGAAAGTCAGCTGACAGAAACTTGATGATTTGTATTTCGACGATCTTTGTTTGATATAGCAGAGCCTATCGGCAATCTGCTAAGATAACACTTGCAGCATATATACATGAATATATACAAAAAGGGTGAACATCAATGATCAAAAGGCATTCAACAATGTTCGTTTCGGCAACGACGTACACAACCAAAACTTCATTGAAAGTATCGAACTACGCGGTTGAACCTATCTGTAGATGAAAAGTATTCTTTCATTTTTCTTCAAGAGAAACGAAAATCTCTGGATTTGCTACCGAAATCGTGTTCGCTGATATATGGTTGCGTAAATAACGTATGAATTTCAAGAAATTACAAAAATATTGAACAGAAAGACTATTTGAATTATTTTCTTTTGAATATCATTGCTATCAGTGAGCATAAGTATATGAGAAACATGATATTTTCTTAATAAAATTAAGCACACTTGATTGTCAAACCTTGTTGGAAAGATCTTAGTATAAAAACAAAAAAATTGAAAATAAGAAATATTTGAGTGATTCAAATTGTTCAGTGAACGTCTATTTGAAAGCTTCTAAAATTGTGAGAAACAAAAATAAATATCACAGATTGTTCATTATATTTTGCGTTTGAAACGTTTCAGTTTATTCTCATCATAAAAGAAAATAGATAACATCAAAAAAAAAAAAGAAGATTAATCATGAAAATTATCAGGTCTAAGTGGTGGTAAATTTTTTTCATATTCTCTTCCTTTTTTTACATACATTTTCTTTTGTCCACCACCGACAATTTCATTTGGTTTTGGATTCATTCGTTTTAAATCTTGTCGAATTGTTTCTATGACATCTATTTCATCTGGTATACGAATATAACGTACATTTTTATATCGAATACATAAACGATTGAATGATATTGATTTCTGAATTGGATAAGACATTGTTACTTGTGATAATTGAATATTATGATTAACATCAATATCCATAAGTGTACCAACAAGCATGATACCACCATAAAGATCAATTTGTGTTCTTTGTCCAACAAGACATCGAAGAAAACCAAGTAATGTTCGACAAGATTCTTTTTTATATTTTCGTTTTAAATTTGACATATCTGTAATTAAAATTAAAAGAAATAATTATAAAAAAAAACAATAAACTATAAAACTTAAATTATTTTGTGAATTATTTATATGAGAATCCAGTACAAGACAACACGGTCCTGCCATCCTAGTGTGTTGTATTGCAAGGAAAACGATTTTAAAATTTTTGTTTTTATTCGATCATTCTGCAAGACAGACCAAGATGAAGAAATTGATCATGTATTTGATATAATCTTGTATTTAAAAGTAGTACAGATTTAATTACTTGTAAAAAGTAGAATATTTTTCTGTCGAGAAACGAGAGAGACTATGTATATATTTAGTACTCTACATATATAGTAACTTCTGTGAGAGTGAAAAACGAAAATATAACATGTGGTTTTAGAAGATTTTTGAACTATTTACAAAAAAAATTTCTATTTGAAATAAGAAAATATTGAATTAAGATAATTCTTGAATATTGTGTAGAGTCTGTAGTAAACTATAAGATTGAAAAAATGTAAACTAGTTTTCGTCATTCTTTAGCTAAGATATAAGAATTGGATTATAGTGTTTTTTTTTGAAAAACAATGAACAGATTTGGTTTTTCTTTGTTTTATTTACTTATACAGTCTGATTATTATGATATTAGTGAGGCTGATATATATATCAATTATTACAAGTATAATCTATTTGTAGAATAGTTTCTTTTAAAATTTCTCGATAACGAATGTGAAAGCAGCATTTTTCCACAACACTTTGAGTCATTTTGACTTATCTGTAATGAGTAATATGAAAATTTGTTTTCTATGTAAGCTCACAAAATAATACGATTTTCATGCTCAGCACTTTATATGACCTCATGGTCAATCAAACAACATTTTACAGTTGTTTTCAAGCAAATTTTTATTGATACAAGATAGAAATTTGCAACTTCGGTTGTCATCTTCCTTCTAGGCGGAATCAATCAATTCGCGAATAGTCGCCTCTTTGCATGATCGTTCTAATGTATGAACTACTTCCTTATTGCATTTCTGAAGGATAAAGTAAAAAGATGGTAAAGAAAAATGTTCCAGAATAGATGGAATTTGAGTAATCTTCTTATAATTAGCGAACGCGAAAATCCGTTAAAAACTCAGTTTTTATGTTATTCAAGACAAATCTGTCATTTTCTACCCGTTCCATATCTTCATAGAGTAATGGCTTAAGCTAAAATTAAATATACCGGTATGATAATTACCACCGTTTTAAGCTATCTATCAACGGCAAAATGCTTGCATATAGCATTTTTTTTTTGATAGATACACATCCATAAGTAGTCATTCGTAAAAAATACAATGTTCTCAGAAAATTTTTTGATCTATAAAACTTTGTAGAGCTCGTTGTATTGATTATTTTTGATGAAAAAAAAAATATATATTCAAATGAATTCAATAAACTATGATAGTAAGATCAAAATATTAAAAAAAACATCAGCTATTTCTGACTGTTGCTGAATGATAGTAGATGCTTTCAAATATTTTAATCCTAGCATCATGATTGATTGAGTAAATTTGAATACTTTTCTTTTTATAAATCTCATAGATGGAGAAATCTTCTGAAAATCATCATCTTATGTTGTTTTATAGTTGACTACCTATGAAAGTGTTATATTCAACAAAAAGACGATTCACAAGTATTTTGTCATTGTTAACATTCTTATCGTCGACTCAACATCAACTGTACTAGATGAATATTATACGATAAAAGTACAAACATTTTATGAACTCATCCCTTTTTTTGCTTCTAAATGAATAATGATTTCATCACTAAAATCTTGATAATCATTAACATATTCTTCTGATTCTTCAAGCTCATCATGTCATTAAGTATCTTTCATATTATTAACAATCAAAGTGAGACAAAAAAAAAACAATCTTTAACAATTGTATTATTTTCTTTCATTAAAAAATAAAATCACAATAAAATAGGCACCATACACAATTAATATCACATATGAAAAAAAAAGAATCGTATAATGAAGTAAAAAATTCAAAAAATTATTGGTCTTGAAAATGTGTCATCAGTTTATCGAGATCAGGAATACCATTTTCATCTGTATAATCAAGTAAATCACAAAATGCTGAAGATTCAATCTAATAAAAAAACAGAAAATTCAACAAATATTTTTTTTTAAATATGAATTTATTTTATCTACATACTCCTAATATATAAAAACAACTTTCTGGTTCAACAAGATACATTGTTGGCATATGAGACTTATCTTCTCTTATTAAACATCTAAAATAAACAATTATAATCATTATCAAAAAAATAAAATTCTATTGTTCTTTTTCTACCTTAATTTAACTTCAACAACACGTGGCATATTAGTCATTTCACATATATCTCCATCACCATAATACAATGATACATATCTAAATATATTTTTAAAATATGTAAAAATAAGTAATAATCTTAAAAAAAATTTATACTGTCGTTCTTTAATATATCTATCAGATTTTTTTTTTGTATTTGTATTTATCCATTCAATATGTTTTTCATGATTCCATGTACCTAGTACAATAATTGTTTGTGTTTCTGATTCTTCCTTGAGAAATAACAAAAAAAAAACAAATTCAATCTATATATGTATTGTTTTTTTTTACATGAAATTGAATAACATGTTTTCCATAACATATTTCATATCGCCACCAACCTGATCCACCTGTTAAACATTCTTGACCAGAAAAAAATCCTTCAATAAATTCAAGAATAGTTTCATGAGATGATTGTTGATCATTTTCCGATGGACTTGATGATGTTACATCATTTGTCATATCATTATTGTCTGTATTAGGTAAATCTTTAATTTCATCATCATTTACATATCTATATGAAATAATAAATGTTGTTCCATCGGCACTTGTCATCTAGATAGAAATGTTTTTTTTTTCATGATTATATAACAAAACATAGAAAAAAAAACAAAAAGAAATATTTACAGTAAATTGTGCACCTTCACCTGTTCTTGATATTAATTGTTGTTGTTCATATTCAAGTTTTTTTAAATTTCTTGGTTTTTGAGGAGCATTTTCTTGTGGATAACAATTTATTGTATGTCGATTTGATTCTGCTGGACTAAATATATATATAAATAGATTCATCAAAACAAAAACATGTTAACGCAGCTCTGTTGAAGCAAAAATGTGAGACTCATATGTATTCATTAGTCTTATTCAATATATATCATGTAAAAGCTCTTTAGAATACTGTAGTTGTTTTTGCAATGATAATTAATCGTTAGAGAAACGATCTGTTTCATCTATTTCTGTATTTTGAACAGAATTCTTTTTTGTAAAAACATGATATAAAAGAAGTGTTGAAGTATATAGGGCCAAAATTTGCATCACTTTTACTCCGAGAGACCAAAGCATAGACTCTGTCGGTTTAGTCTCGGATTTATTTCGGAAATATTATTTTAATAATTGTGTCTCAAAATGTTGGATCCGATGGATTCTACTGTGAAAACGTTACCGATAATAAAATATGTTATCGATATGCGATCAAAAAATTGTTGAGATACGACCAAAGACCGTACATTAATAACGTCTCGCTATAATATATAAATTATTTCTCCTTATTACACTTCTACATGATTAAATAAAAAGATGATAAAGAAATGTGTGTCATAATAAATAGAATAAAAAAAAAGTCTTCACAATTACATCAGGTTTTTCATTACAAAACCTCAGAGAGGCTCTAACAGCTTTCATATTCATATTTCGTTTATCCTAATTTAAGACAATTATTATTATTATATCTCTATATACTCAGAAATATTGATTTTGATTATTTTCTGAAGTTATAACTTGATAAGTTAACTCTTTTTTATGTTAATCATGTGTGGACTATAGCAAATCAATGCACTAGGGCTGTACCGCTCACCCTCATGAGCGCTTATATGAGCGTGAGCGTTTTTTCGCTGACGCTCATGCTCACGTGAGAGGTGATCGCTCACGTTCATATGAGCGCACCTGAGCGTAAGCGGTACAGCCCTACTCATATGAGCGTGAGCGACCATCCCTCACCTGAGCATGAGCATAGGGCTGTACCACTCACGCTCATGAGCGCTGATATGAGCGTGAGCGCTTTTTCGCTCACGCTCATATGAGTAGGGCTGTACCGCTCACGCTCATGTGCGCTCATATGAACGTGAGCGACCACCCTCACGTGAGCATGAGCGTCTGCGAAAAAACGCTCACGCTCATATGAGCGCTCATGAGCGTGAGCGGTACAGCCCTACAATGCACCATTATTCGTCATCGTTGACCATAAAAATTAAAAGAAAACATTTACAAATGTATTTCCGTCATTCATATCTCTCAAAAGACTTTGAAATGTTCTAGAACAATATAAATCTTTTTATTAATACAATCGAGCACTTCTTCGTGTTGCTAAGAAACTGTAAGAAAAGAGACTTATATCTATTATCTTTCTTTATTTGTTATAAATTATCTCCTCAATCAGTGAATACTTCTAATCAATAACTTTATGAATGATTAAAACTACAATTGAAAAAAAATTTGTTCTATGAAAATATCATCAGAGTGAATTTCTATAAAATTCCATTATGATATTGGATATAATATTTTTAAAAAATTTTTCTAAATGAATTAAAAATATAGAATTATTAATAAAATTTTAATGTAATGACAGTCTTTTGCTTTGTACTAAATACTATTCTAGTTGTGTATGTTATAAGATTATTAACTTATTCGATTGATAATCTTCCTTTAGGTTCACCAACAAGATTCTCTTCTGAAATCAAGCGCTTTCAAAAAAAAACAAACATTATAATATTGTGTAATAGATTGAAAATTCAATAAAAGGAGCATAACTTGAAAAGAATGATCTAACGACACGAATCTGTATAGAGGTTTTTATCTATATAAGGAAGCTTACCCATCGTTAAAACAGCTTAGCGACAAAGAACATAGTGTCTTCTAGATACTACTTAGGACATACTAAAGTATTTAAATTCCTTATTAAATGCTTACAGAAACTTTTAATCATTTTTGAATAAATATCATTATAATAAAATTTCGATAAGAACTAATTGTTACCAAATGTGACAATAATATTAGATCCCATTTTATCTTCAGTATTCTTCTCTACAATAATATCTATCCTTTCAAACATATTACAGTATACAAAAAGTGATGACACTACTTTTTATATACCGTAACATACATTGATAACTAAAATTAGAGTCAAGAAGAAGAATAAAGAGAATATAAATCGAAGATAAAGTATGATCTAATCTTATTGTCATTTATCATAAGAAAACCAAATTTATTCCGTTTTACTTTTACGCTCATATACTTTTTAAAGTTATAAGAATATTTTAATCTTTTTTTTTGGTTCCTGTAATCCTTTTAAGTGTGTGTGAAAGAAACATGCCCATACAGTGTCCAAGGGATTGAAAGTTGAAAAATACAATAGTCACAGTTGCTTGAAAAGCATATACAGTAAAACCTCCCATAGTGGACACTCCGCGGTCCGACGGAGAGATTTTTGCTGGAACTGAACCTCCCTATAGTGGACATCATCCGATACTGGACATTTTTGATAAGTCTTATTCAGTGTCAACTAAAGAGCCTTTCTGTATTCTAACAATTGTTGATTTTTTTGTATTTCAAGAAGAAAAATGCACGAGGAGAGAAGTAACAATGAGCACTGGTTAGTTATCTTATTCACTAACATCCTTCAAATCCTTAGAAAACGCGTCCGCTTCTTCGAAAAACTTTGCTCTTTGAAAAGACTAAACCTTCCTATAGTGGACACTTTCAAAAAGTCCCATAGATGTCCACTATAGGGAGGTTTTACTGTAAGTGAAACGTGATAAAAAATTCTTTCTCATGAATTATTCATGATATTAGTTGAAGAATATAGTGTAACCGTTTGTTTTTTTTTTGTATTCGATATGTTAATTGAGAAAAATTTTCTAGTCCTTGTCCTATTGTAAAAGAGAAAGTTTCTTTTGAAGATTTTTTTTTTTTATAATGAACTAAAATATGTTAGTATTTTCAAAATGTTTATTGGTTATAAATTCGATTTATAATCTATATAGATACTTGAATTCTGGTAATTCACAAATCCATGCTGAAGCAACAGTCATTTCATATTGACATGATGAAACTTCTTGAAAATTAATTACACCATTGTTACCATTTTCATAACATACTAAATTAAAAAAACAAGAAATCGATCTGAATTTTAACAATAAATATGAAACAAAAATTCTACCATAGAAAACAAGTACTTCACGTGGTTTATTTGAATTAATATCACATGCTGTACCATCTGTATATCGAATTGGTAACATTGGTATTATTCGATTATTAACAGTTTTATGATGAATCTATTAGATTTATTTTATTGAGTAAAAGAATTTTCTTTTTTTTTTACCTTTAATACTTGTTCATTATCAGTATTTGTAATTATATCTTGATTATTTGAATGATAATAACCAAGAAAATATTCTTGATGAATAACTCTCTATATGTATATTTATTTTTTAAAAGAACATAAAAAGACTTGATCTTACTTTATCAGCTATTTTATTTTCATGATATTGTCGAATATGTATTCCATGACATAATTCATAAGTCCAATATGGATCTAACTATATATATATATATTGTTTGATAAAATATTACGATATTCTATTAAATAAAATCTTACTCGATAAGTACATAACTTTTTTGAATGTAATTTTTCTATTAATGGTTCAATATCACTTAATAAAATAGTTTCTGTTGATTTCTAAATAGATTGAAAAAAAAAATTAAATTTATTTAAAAATTATATTAAATATATTCATTACTGTATCTGTTGTTTGAAGTATTGGTAAAATACATGAATATTTTTCTTTTCGTTGTGATGTAATAATAAAATTATTTTTCAATTCAATTGGCTATAGAAATAATTTAAGTAATTTATTAAAATGATTTTTCGTTTTTTTTCAAAAAAAAAACAAAATACATACTGAATTTAATTCGGATTGCCATTTAATATCATAAATAATATCATCATCTAAGATAGTATTTATGAATGATATGTAAGATATGATTGTGAAGATTAATTGAAAGAACAACATTACTATTGCAAAATGATTGTATTATTTCGAACACGTCAATTCAATTAACATTCCTTGTTATTTTTTTTGTAAATTAATTATTGGATTAAATAGTGATCCAATAAATGTTAAAAGTGACTTCGTTCTTTCATTTATTTATTTATGGTTATTCTTCTTTGAAATTATTGAAATTGTTGATTTACTGTCAATCATGTTTAATATAAGTTTCTCTATTGCAGTTTCTTATCCGATGGACTACAAACCAACGGCATCTATATGAAATCTTGAAAAAACTCAAATTGTTATTAACTTGTATTATAAATCTATGGTTGATAATTTCTGATTTTTGATGAAAATAATAGAAAAGCAGTTATCAGAGATAAAAGAAAAAAAACTAAAAATGTTATTTTGCTAATACTAGTGTTGTTTCAGTTACAGTGAGACTATTTGCTCTACTTCTGACAATTATCCTGAATCTTAACACTACCTTAAACAAAGATTTCAATGGGCCGGGTCGAAACGAGCTAGTGCACTACTTTTTCCTTACAAAAAACAGGTCACCCATGACCTATCTCACTAATTACACTGTATAATTTATTAGAAAACATTCAGTAACATATTCGACAACTTAAAAAAGCTTCAATTTTCCCGTTAGAAAACCAAAAAAAGTACCCAGTACAAGGATGTGTTTGCTTTTTTCATTTTTAATAACTATGTAAGTCGATAGTTATTATTTCAAAAGAAATTCAATCTGTTTGGATTTATACTATTTTGTATGTGATGATGAACCAATATCAGTAGTCGAAGAAAATGTGTTAACAAAAAAATCGGTGATTGAGAAAATTTAATAGAAAAAAGTAAATGATGATCATTCTACAATTGTTGATGAATGAATAAGGACATTTTGTTGAATATAAAAGATATCATTGTAGAATTTTCATACACATAAATATAATTTTTTTATTGAAATTTGTCATTTATATTGGTTCAGAAAAAAAAAAAGCGAAAAATGAAATTTTTGTCATTATTACGATTAGATCGTAAAATATTTACAAAATAAAATAAATCATTAGTTTTAAAACATTATTTTAGGATATTTTTTAAAGTAAAATATCATCATTATATGTTAATAAAGATCATAGATTATTGCTTTGAACATATAATTATGATTAACAAGTCACATTTTAGTGAAGAATTTGATTTAATCATGTTTTATTGTATTTGTAGACAAAAAAAATCTATTCTCCTTTTTGATTTCGTTAGATTACAATCAAGTGAATTAACACACGATAGAAATATGCTATTATTATATTTATAAGGAAAACAAAAAATGCATTATTCGAATTAATTTTTTTAATAGGAGATTGAAACTTCTTATCGAACCCAAATTTACCTTATCAGTTCTCATAAAAGCCTTGTTTCTATGAATAATTGGTACACATTGTAATGCATACAGAGGCGGCGCGAAGAGGTCAGAACAGGGGGGTACCCAAAAATTGAAGAAAGTAGCCTAAAATTTTTCTCAAAATTTATAAAATTTGTCTGATTATACTTTTCCAAAATCGGAGAAAATTCTTTAATAATCTCTCTAGATTAGGAGAAAATCTGAGCCAGAATTCTCAAAGCAGGGGAGTACCCCCTCTCCCGCTCCTGAATGCCTAGTAATACGATATATTATTTATTTTCATTCAAAAGTAATTCTCAGCACCAGCTATTCATAGAAATAAAACTTTTTACGGGAATAATAAATTAGATGAACTTGGGCTCTAATTTGAAAATTCCTTAAGCTAAAATCTATATGATTCTATTGAATAATTCATTAGTGTAAAGCTCGTCGTCAAAGATCTACTTATTTAAGTCGTATCATAGTTGACAAAGATATGTTGTTATGATTTTCTATTGACAATTATAATTAGAAAAAACTTCTCGATGAATTTTTATTTAACAGTAATCGAAGTTTTATTGTTTGTCTAACTCTAAATTTTAATTTCTTATCTCATATTTATTTATAAATAAGAATTCTAAACTTCAACATTCATTATTATATGATGTTAAAATTTCAGCAAATAAATCAATACTCAAATCACAAACTACTTTTTTTTCTAATGAAGATGTGCCTGTCATACGGTAATATATTCGTATGTGATATAAGAAATTTATTAATGTACGTATAGTATTTCAAAATAATATTGATCATTGAGATGTGAAAGTTAATATTCCGTAAATTTCTTCGAATTGAGTTTTTACTATTGTAGTTCATAATAAACTGTTAAGTATTCGCGTATGTCATGTCCTAAGTAGCATCATTCTTTGACAATATTCATCATCATGTTGAAGAAAACAGATCCATAAAAAAAAACCACATCCTTTAATCACCAATAAAATCAATTCATGAAACTTTATAATAAAAATAAAGTTGAAGTTTTCTTAATAATATAAAATCATGCTAAAATTAAAAGAATACAAATACTGAAATTTCCTATATTTGTTTCGATTTTGAAACTTTAATCTATTTAGGTCCTACCAAAACTATCAAGATTTACAAGTATAACTTTACAATCAAGAGCTAATTCAGTTTTTATTTATTTAAAAATTAGAGCTGGTTGTCGTCATTTTTTACACTGCATTGATTTGATTTATGACAGCGAATTGTGTCATAACAACAATTTTTTCGTAATATAAAAATTGATTTTTATGTTTAGAAAGATAAAACCAATAGGCGTGTTCCATGAAAAAAGTATCTTAAGAACGACTGAACGTATCGAGCTGTCCTCTGGTACTTAAGGGTTTCTCGACGTGCTCTTGCTTTTGTCTAGCCGACACTTTTATCCAAAATGCTCGGAAGTAGGTTTTCTAGAAAACCGTAGTTTTGGAGCCAATGGTCGCGAAAGTCGTCTCGTTTTTAACAGTCTATAATGATAGAGTAATCAATTTTCTACAAAATGAGATGTCTCCGAGCTCTCTACGACTTTTTTTGGCCGAGTTACATCAATTTTAGTGAAAGGCAAAAGCCGTTTTTTCTCAGAGGAAATAGCAGAAAAAGCGGCTTTTGCCTTCCACTAAAAATTGATGTAACTCGGCCAAAAGAAGTCGTAGAGAGCTCGGAGACATCTCATTTTGTAGAAAATTGATTACTCTACCACTATAGACTGTTAAAACAAAACGCCTTTCGCGACCACTGATTCCAAAACCACGGTTTTCTAGAAAACCTACTTCCGAGCATTTTGGACAAAAGTGTCGGCTAGACAAAAGAAAGCACACGTCGAGAAACCTTTAAGTACCAGAGGACAACTCGATACGTTCAGCCATTCTTAAGATAGTCTATACTAACTTTCTCATGGAACACGCCTATTGTGAATATACTAGATTTTTTCGCCGTTGCACTGTTGTAACTACATAGATACCACATATTTCAGTACTTAAATAAAATTATAGAATACTTATATATTGAAATCTGAAATCTGAAGATAGAAAAAAATGAAAATTTCTCCACATAGATTTAGGCATTTTTGTATCTATTTAAATGATTTAATCAATCATAAGTATTTTTGTCGGCTTTCAGTTCTGGCTTTTCTGCAAATACCAAACTCTATTGCTCACAGCAACTAACCATCGTTTCATATGTCATTTATCCGCTATTTCAAATTGAAAAAAAATTTAATGCTATGTTATGAAAATAATTTGATTTTAGCTATTGAAAATCATATGTTCAGACTCAATCTCAAACTCTTGATGATTATTATCTTACATAATCATATATACAGCATTGAACTATTGATTGAATCATTCCATAGTTTAATAAGAAAAATCACTATTTCTAAAAGCAAATCAAGTCGAAAAAAAAGCGCTCATAAATTACCATAAATCGATGCATATTTCTCCGAATGTAATGCCGAGAAATACAGTTATATTACGGAATTATGTAATATAATAAACTTCTATCAGTGTATAGGAATTTTCTTTTTTTCATTCTAAGATACTATTCGTCAATTACTTTGAATTCTTATACGTCGGTACAACCCATCTATTCAGTTCTGAGAATTATGATCATTGAAGCAACGACTTTGTGGATCCGAAATTCTGCTTATTTTTCATAAAATATAAGCGCATCAATTTCATTGAAATTTTATATCTATAGCAACATTCAATGAAGAATGGTAATACATTGAAATAATAGTAATCATTTTGATAGTCTCTTAGTAAGTTAAATGTTTCTATAAAAAAAAAAAGACAACCTCAAAACTTTTATAGTTTATTAAGAAAATTTTTCTAAAGAAAAATAAAATTAACAGTATCTGCTATCTAAATATTCATTTCATTTGCATATAATAAAAAATGTGCAAAGAATAATATTATTGTAGTATAATATCTACATTATATTTTATGAAAATTAACTCCTTTTGCAGTCGATACAACAAGTATGTCTGAACTAAATAGACAAATATAATAAGGAATTGTTTTATATGATATTTTTGTTTTTAATTTTCCATCATTTGTAATCTCTAACAAATGTCCAGTCTCATAATCAGCTATTAACCATTGATCATAGCTAATTGAACAAAAACGAAAAGCTATATTTTGATTACATATAATATTCAATGGAAGTGACCAAATATAATTAAGTTTTTCACAAGATCGTAATTCTAAACGTAAAGTTTTTTCAATTTTATTTTTAATTATTAATGCAAGTATATTATTTTTATAAATAATACCATTTATAAATTCATTTTTTGTACATGTATTAGGAGATTTCCATTCTTTAATAGCAGTTATTAAAGGAGATAAATGAAATTCTACAATAGATGAACCTCTTACACCTGTTGTTAAAAATAGATATGTATCCGAACATGTACATGCAAACCATCTACGTTTCTCAATAGTTTTTATATTTTCAATAGACATAGTATTTTCATTAATAAGAAAAATATTATTTTCTTCAATAATAATAAATTTATTTAATATTGATGACCAACATATATCTCGAATAGCATTATATGTCCATAAAATTTCTTTGACTATAATCATTTCATTATTCATAAAACATAAATTAGGTGCTTGATGTATTAATAATAATTGATCATTACAAGCCAATGGACAATAACTTCCAGGTGTATATTTTATTTCTTTATATACAGATGATAAAATTGATAGATCAATAGTTTTTTTTTTTAGTTTTTTAATATAAATTAAAGTATCATTTATTATTAAAGGAGAAATATTTAATTGAATATATGTTGTACATTCAATTTTTTCTAATTCATTATTTAATTGTGATATACTTGATGTAAATGATTCAATATTTTTTTGTGTTATTTCTTTATTTTGAATAAGTTTTGATATTTCAGATTGAATATACGTTAATTTATTTCGTTGTTCATCTAATATATTAGATACAAGTTGATTAAGTTCTTGACATTTTTCTTCAAATAAATGATCAATTTTTTGATAACAATCTAAACGCCATTGTTCAAGTTTTTGTTGATAATCACGTATTGTTTCATGAATATATAATGTTTTAAATCGATGATTAAGTGCATTAATACTATCAGCAAGAGGATTTATTTGAGAATTAAGAGATTCATTATGTTCATTTAAATGAGATATACACACATTTTGTTGACAACAATGACATAAAGCACAAGATGCACGTTTGCATGTAATATTTGCGCAAGGTTGAAACATTCGATAACGAAAAAAAAAAAAAAAAAACCTATGTTACTTCGTTGCAGATGTGAATAGAAAGAAAAAATGAAAAAAATATGTCTGCTGTTTTTAACACGCGACATTTTTGTTTATTTGAAGAAGAAATGAAAAATACGTCTCTATCGATCTCATGTGTTTGTAAGTTTCTTTTTTTTTTCAACATAAAATTAAAAGAAAAATGTCATAGAAAAAAAACGACTCATAAAAATTAATGTTGATATTCTAGTCGAAAAAGTCAATTTACGATACTTGAGAATATTTGTCTGTTAAAATAAAAATATATGAAAAATGATTCAAAATTTACCCAGAATGAATATTTCGTTCGTTGTTTTTTTTTTCCACAAAAACGTCTTTCGAAATTTATTAAAAATAAAAAGACTTAGATTGATTTCATAGTTATAATTAAATAATTAACATGATTTATGAACATTGGTCTCATATTTTTATAGGTATTAAGTTTTTTCTCGTCATATCACTCGAAATCTCTATTTTGTGTTGCAATGATCTAAAGATCAAAGAATAATTGTACGGTATTAATCCAAACGTTGCCTACATACTTGAATATTTCTATATGATCGATGTTTCCGAAAGTTTCATATGAGACTCTGTTCGTTCTAGAAAATGTCTATTTTGAAGTGTGAACTCTTCATGACTACGAACAAGGATGCAACTCATGAAGCATGTGTAGGAAGTAACACTTCCCACTTTATTTTTCAAATTTACTCATATCTTCAGTATTAAATTATGTTTCTAGCTACTAGATAATATTAAAAACGAGTTTTAGCAGCGATTATGAGTAGTTAATTGAATGTTGCTGCCATCTTTCGAAATTTTCATTAAATATATCGAAGAACTTCTTGATATGTACATTCTATGTCTCTCAATGATAGACAATCAGAATGAATTGGATATTTAAAAAAAAATCGATGAAAATAAATAAAAACTTAATCAAGCATTTTCATGTATTTTGAGTCTAATAAATTTCATAGGTTTTCCATACAATATCTATTGATTTTTCAATTAGCATAAAATTCGAGTTATTACATAATAAATGATTTGTAATATGCATTAAACTTATCATTCTTCTTTGTACAACACAGAAACATGTTTTATTTTGTTTTTTCGTTTAATTTGACATTTCCATTAATGCGAAAGTTTTATGATCTCATAAACGATTTATTCGGATTCGGATGATTTGAGAAATATTCATAAAAACCGATTTGTAAAACTATTCTTGTAGTGAATATCTTTTGATTATTTTTGCATTATCATCATTCAGACTTGAATATGTAATTGTTCGTCTAATAAAATGTTTATAAAGAATTTCAATATATTACAGTGTCAATCATTCAAATGTTCTGCACTTTTGTTTTTTTTTCTACTAAATTAAAGTCAGGAACTCATCAAAAGATTATTCTATGCATTATTTCTGTTAGTTGTAAAGCATTAATCTTGCGTTAATTTGATAATATCTTGATCAACAACGATGGAATAAACAGACATGACATATACAGTAAATAACATTGCGTGAACGAGAACTATTCTTCAATACTCACGTCACTCATCATCTATTATTATTTAGTATTTTTTTTTTGTTGTCAAGATCAAGGTTCTATTGATAACTTTATGAAGCAATATATTTTTTTTTTCCTTAGCCTCTTGATTTATTCATGCTGTTAGCAAGTACATATGTATATACATTCATTTTTGATTGGATATTTTACTATACATATATATATATATATCTGTGCATGTGCATATATGCTATTTGAGAATAAGATATTCATACAAAGCTTTGGATAAACTTTGAGAAAGTAGGAAAACAACGTGGATTGTTGATATTCCTTCAAGGAGAATAGCACTATGCGGAATGTCTCTTTTTTTGTTGCTTATTAGATAAAGAAACTGTCGTCATTATCTACGATCCTATGGACACAATTATTAGTCTCTCAACTTTCCTTCTTTTTTTTTTTTTTTCTACTCGATATATATGGATACATAAGCACGTAGAAAAAAAACAGAGCAACATTGATCAGAAGGCACACGAGTTGCTGGTGTATGGTGTCATCAACTCGTATTAATCTGAGCTTTAGATTGACGATATAAATACGTCGATTATCATTTTATATTAATAACTTATTTTTTCATCGAACTAGTTTTTGAGATCATTAACGAATACAAAGAAGAATAACAATATTATCTTCTTATTTGGTTAAGTGACGAAAGCTTACATAGTTTTCATATACGGTAAGTTATTATAGTCAATAATAGATAAATAATTAATTTATATTTTGTCAAGAATATTATCAGAATAATAGCTAAGTTGATATTAATACAAACATTAAAAAAAAAAAAAAAATTTTATTTGAAATTTTAGTTTCATTTTTTGTTTTTCTCAAATGACTGACATACCGTAAATCAAATTATCATTGTCTTTTTTTCTTTGATGATGAAAAAAAAACAGTTAGAATTAACTCAATTTGTCTATTACTTATCATACCAATCTGATATTAATGAAATATATGCACATCATAAAATGACAATAACAACAGAAAAATAAATGCGATCATATTATATGTATACTTTTATTCTGTCACATCATATCCGGCTGTTAGAATTTTTTTAGTCTTTTATGTTTCTTTGTATATATACACATTTATATATGTATATGTGTATATATATATATTTCATACAAAAGAATCGCTTACATCTTCTTATTGTAGAACAAAAAGATATGCAATCTTTGTCGTGCAAAAACGACAGCTTCATATGATAATCTTAAATGGATGGCTCTCTCAATCATAATAGCATTTGTTGCATAGAAGCGAAGCGAAAGAAAGAAAAAAGAAAATCAGGAGTAGAATCTCTATTGTTATGATAAATTCGCTATTTTTCTTCCCGTTTTCTACGATTGATACGCAAACTCATAGAGAAAAATATATTCCCTATCCACAAATATCATCCAGACTCGGTTATGTATACACACATGGATAACAGAAGAAAAAAGAAGAAAAATTAGTTTGTATTTCCCATTTGTCGATACACGTACATAGGTCACACTCAAAGGAGAAAAAAAAAAAAAAGAATCCTCTTTTCTTCTTTTCTTCCACTACGTTAGCGCAATATCGGGCGAAGAGATCAGAAACATATTCCAATTGAAGAGTGTTTTCTTCCTCTTTGACCGAATGCTTCCTATGACTGGTCAAATGTTTTCTCATTAGGATATTCTCCAATTTCCTTGTCTTTATCCATTTTTTTTCTTCTCTATTACATGCATCATGTTGTTTCGTACGCTGAGAAAAGAACATCTCGACTACCATAATAAAATGCGTTGTTGAGATTGTGTATCTTCAAAAGAAAAAGCATTATGAACATTATAATTTCACAGCTGTTTGTTTTACATCAGTAAATAGAATAAAATATGTTAGGTGATAGAAAAACTGTTGTTTTACGAGGCGGTGCTCCTTGGGGTTTTCGACTTTCAGGCGGTGGTCAAACGCCTATTTATATTGCTAAGGTATTTTTCTTGTTTTATTTTTTTCTTGAAACAATAAAAATAATCAAAGAATTTTTTCTTTTTTTTTTTCTTTTTTTGAAAAAAAAATTTTCTAGGTTCGAAGTCGAAGCAAGGCAGCATTTGGAGGTCTTGCAACAGGTGATACAATTATATCAGTAAACGGTATATCTTCATTACAACATTCATTACGTGAAATAAACGATATAATTGATACTGTTCGTGATCAATTAATTATTGAAGTACAAAGGTAATGATTGAAAAAAAAAAAAAGTTAAATTTCAAATATTATTTTTCTTATCGTAGTACAACAAATACTCGTGTTTTTCGACTTGATTCAAGTTCAAGTATAGATACAAGAGAAAGTAGTCCAGTTCGTCCAATACAACGTATAATATCACAACCAAGACAAATGGATTATCATCAATATACATCATCACGTACTACACCAACTTATCCATCGTACACATCAACATCAGGTACCAATTATTTCAATAATACTAATTTAATTAATGAAGATCAATATTTTATGGATTCTTATGGACGTTCAATGCCAAATCCTTTACCAGCTATGTTTCGTACAGCTACTATAACAACTAATTCACCAGCAACACCAATAACTACAGCACGTGTACAACAATTTAGTTATCGTCCATCAACATCCAATAGTACATATGATACACCACGTAATTATAATGAAACAATAGCAAGTGGTTATCTATCTGATACTAATGATCTTCGTCGTTCATCAATATCTGTTCGTCCTACGAATGGTACAACAAGTAATATTCGATATGCTATTAATCAACAACCATATCTTACACCATCAACAACTACATATACTACAAAGCTCTCATCAGGTAATGAACAAAATTATTATAGTGATTCAGAATATGTTACATCTGGTCCACGTTATTATAAAATTACACGACAAGTTAATACTAATCGACGACCAAGTAATGTTGTTTTACCAATTCGTTCAATAATAAGTAAAGCATATGATCAATTTGTACCACCAGAACAACCAAAACCACCAGAACAACAAATTTTTGATGTGTATCGTTATCAACAAGAACAACAACGTCTTGAACGAGAACATGAACAACGTGAAAAACGCGAACGAGAACGAGAACAACGTGAACGTGAAAGACAAGAACAAATACTACGTAAAATATATCAACAACAACAACAAGCAACTTCTAATCGATTTCATTCATCACCTAAAATCACTATACCATCTCAAACAACTATTGATCATGAACTTGGTGCTGAATTAATTAAATCACCAATTGCTAATAGTAAAAATTTTTATATTTAATAATTAATTTTTTTTTTTCATAATGAAGACTTTATTTTAGAGAAGCGTTATGCTGATTCAAGCTTCTTTAAAACTCCATTTAATACTTATCCAACTATTGAAGAACAAAAACAAATGGCACGTAAAATAGCATCAATTCTTGAAGGTGGTGATCCAACACAAAAAGGTTCTACAAAATTTGAAAAACAACGACAACGAGTAGAAAAATATACTATTGAATCTGATACAACAAATTATAGACCATTACGTCCATTACAAGCAAATGATTCATTATATTCGAATAGAAAACAACAACAACAACAACAACAACAACAACAACAACAACAACAATCTTATTATAATTCATTTGATGTACCTGAATGTATAAAACATAGTTTAGATGAAGCTCAATATATAAATCCATTACGATATGTTGGAGCACCAGAAGAATTTAAACAAATTCATATGCAGGTATAAAATTTGCAATTTATTAATCAATTATAAATAATCAAAAAAAAAAAAATTTTTTTTCAGGAACATGTTACACATACAAATGTTCCTCCACAAGCTGCAATGAGTCTTGTTGCTGATTTAAATCAAAATCGTAGTAAAGGTGCAGCATTATTTCAAAAACGTAAAGCTCGTTCTGAAAAATGGATTATTGATGAAAATAATGTTAAAAAACAAGGCTATCAAACAGCATCAAATTATATTGGAGTTAGTATACATATCATAAATCATAATTATTATTATTTTTTTTTTATTGTCAAACTGTTTATCTATATAGCCAACTACTAAACCATGGGGTCAACGTGCACCATCATGGTCTGACAGTGAAGGACCAAGTTTTTCACCTGTACGACCAACATTTAATCCTTCTCCGGGTTCTATTCTTCCTGAATCAATTATATCGCCTACACCAATACAAACAATACCACGATATGGAGATTTTAATGCTAAACCAAAAGGATTTGGTACTTGGCATGCAGAAAGTAAGAAATTTGTTTTCGATGAAAATAAAATATTTTTCTTCTTTTTCAATTGAATAGATCTATCACCACGTGGAAGTATTGATGCTAGAAAACCGCTCAATCTTAATATTGAACCAAGTATTCGTGAAGGTAATTTGATTATTTTCATATTTAAGTAAATTCCTTTTTTTTGTTTTTTTTTTTAGGTATTGCTGAATCACATACACGTAGTGCATCTCAACCATGGTCTCCACCAAATACTTCTCAATCTATATTTTCTCCAAATCAACAACAAACAACAACTACTACTACGACAAATCATTTTAATTATCCATCCGAAAATCTTCATTCAAAATGGAAAAATCAAGATTATTCATCATGGAATCAATCTAAAATTCAAGATCAACGTCAATCACAAATGCCAATGACTCATGATGGTATTGATAATTTACGTCAACGTCTTACGCAATCGAATCAATCATATTCATATAGTGGATTGAATCAACGAAGCAGCAATAATACTAGTCCTAACCGATATCCTTCATCTCAACGATCACAACAACAACAACAACAACATTTTACCGATCTTTAATGGTTTCTTATGCATCAATAAATACAAGGCAAACTCGGTGAAATACATCAATCGTTTTATTCGCTCAATATACTCGCTATAGTCATGAGCATTTTTCAGTTTTTCTAAGTATATGTTCGTAGTCTAGACCAAAGAAACATCAACATTTCCCTTGCTTTTTGTTTATTCATTTAATTGTTTTTTTTTTGTTGATTTTTGAGTGTTTGTTTGTTTGTGTGTGCGTGCGTGCGTGTGTTTTTCTTTTATAATGGCACTTTGATTATTTATATGCATTTCACCATCGGCGATTGTCTTCAATAAATCTTCTTTTATGCACAGATTAAGTATAGAACAAAGAATTTATTAAAGTTATTTTCTTCAATTTTCATATTCTCGTAATATATAGAAAATCTAAAAACAATCAGAATCCGTGGTGTCTTGAACAAGGATAGAAATTTTGAGAGGAGGTTCGAGGTATCTAAGAAATATCTGGTTTTTCTCTAGGAGAATTTCACAATTTTCTTTCGTTTATTTTCTAAAAAAAAAAGTTCTTTGTTTTACAATGTAAATCATCGATCACTTCTAATTTTATTCACCTAGAAATATCTATGATTAGAATCTATACATAAATCGATCTTTACCAATAGCTGCATAATAGACCTTGATAAAGATAGATGCCACATTTACCATGTTACTTGAAAGAAAATGTGAAGGTGAATAGGAAAGAATCAATAATGCTGACTATTTATATTTCTATCATGCACTTGATTGTGTTCGATAAACAGCTGGCATTATGTAGATATTAGATTGCTCAATATCATACTTGCCGAATAATATATATTTGCTTCTATCTATCATTCATCATTACTATAAAATTTTATTATTTAGATTACGAAGTACTTAATTTAACAAAAGACAAGGCAAAAATTTATATATATTCAAATAATAAAATAGTTGTTGTTGTTGTTTTTATTAATAAAGAAAATTCTTATTATAATACATTAGAAATCAATAATCATAAGATTTTTCTTTTTAATTATACTTAATTAAAATTAAAGTTAACTAAAAATTTGAAAGTTTATTAAAACATTTTTTTGTTGTTTATTCTTCAATTATTTAAAGAAATAAATGTGATTGTTTTTGTTTGCTTTTTTTTTTCATTACCATTTGCCAACTTCATTTGGTTTTTTTCTTTGTCCACCTAATTCAAAACGTCTAGTACGTTTAATAGTCAAATGACGTTTATGATGACATTCACTACATTCCAAACGTAAGACAATTTTTCTTGTTTCTTTAGCTTTTTTATGAAATACAGGTTTCTTCTGACCACCATAACCTTTCTGTTTGATATCATATCGACGTCGACCTTGAGAATGTTTACTTTCTTTAGCCTTCTTATATTGCGACACTTTATGTAAAGTATGTTTTTTACAAACTTTACCTTTACAAAATGTTCGACGTGTCTTTGGGATATTTACCATTCTAAAAATTAAATATTCATGTAATAAATTAATATATTCGAATAATTTTTTTTTATTATACGTACATTAAAAATGATCAGATCTCTTTTGGAAAGATAGTAAAAAAAAATGATTTTGTCAATTTAAATATTTATAGGACTCAGAAAGTTATTACGAAATTTCACTTGAAATTATGACACATTGTGATTGTTATTTCGAAATCATTGTCATTGTATACTGAGTTGTTTTTTATTTTAAAAATGTTTAATTATCTAAATAATATAATAATGTCAATCAATAATTGGAAAAGTTTATGAATAAAATGAATAAATTTTTCCCAACAAAAAATTTATTATTCAATGCCAATCATATCTTTTTTTTTTATTGTTCCTTTCTTTGCTAAATTGGTCATATATTTGGTTAATATTAATCAAGTATAGGAATCAAATGAAGATTCATTTTGTAATCTGCAGTACATTCTGATTAGTTACTACATGTCTTTTTTTCGTAATTGTAAGTTTCATTAAGAATATTGATTAATTAAATGAAAAAATTCGTTGACATATTTGTCGAATTCGATGAGATTTAATAAAAAAAAACTTCATATCGGATTTATATATTTTTCGTTACTCTCCAATGAGTTCTAAGTTTTCAATGATTAGATAAAAAATTAATATGGCATTTTTTTTTTTATATGAGAATGACGTCTGATTTGCGTACATTTCCTTGTGTTACTTTTCTTATATTACAATGTATATTTTCAATTTACAAAACATAGTCAAGTTTTCGGTATGTTTTATATTTTATTTAAAATTAATAAGTTTTTATGTTGTAAGCATACATACATAGGTTATGGCAAAATTTTATATGTACTTGTGACATATAGAAACTGACAAAGTAAATGTGCATGGTACACGAGCTTAAGAAAAAAACTTTAATCCGTAATTAAAGTTCAATATAAGATTAAGTTTTATAAAACTGACATATTTATTTGAAAAAAACACATATACTATCATTTTACTTTGTTTTTAAAATGATACATTTATATATGATTTAGTAAAATAATTAAAACTAAAGTAGACGATTTAAAACAATGATTTTGATTGATTTAGAATATTGAAATTACTAATAATATTAAAACAACTTGCAACTAATGAAGAAGTAAACTATAATGAAGTTTTTATTGCATTACTAACATCTGATCCTTCTGTTTTTCTTTTGTTTCTCGTATAATGTTACATTTCTGTTATTGTTCAACATCATTTGTATTCAAAAATAAATAAAAGAAGCAAACACACTAATGCCATAGCCTGCAAATCGATGGATTATCTCACATGAACTTCTTCATTGATCGCCGTTTCTTGACCACATTTTTTGCACATCGTTATATTTGATAATAGAATTAATTTTACGATAGAAAAATATTTCTCTAATTGATTGATCTTGTTCTTTATTGATTACAAAACATGACTTTGCAATGAAATCTAAATAGTATTTTGTTTTTATACGTATGCTTTAAAATCTAGATATCTCTAAGAATATTTACTTTCTAAATCATTAACCAAAACCATCTTGATAAACCTTTGAATGAACACTAACTCATGTAAGTGCTTGTCTGTGGAGAGAAATTTATGTGATATGGACACATCTTGAGATCTGGCTATGTCAAGCACATGAAAAAAAGTTCGACTAGAAGTTTTTACCAATGTAATGCAACGGTTATGATGCTAGAAGGAGCATGAAACATGTCCACAAATACAAGCTCATCGAGACATCAGATAGATAACCATATCAATATAATATTGAGCTAGTGACATCAGTAATGTTTTCTAGGCAGGCTTCGCAGTCATCCTATATTTTCTATAATTCTTAGGGTAAGGAAAGATGATCGAAGAGAAGAAATTGAAGCTTTGTTTTATAATGCCCATAAGCTAGTTATTTTAAATGATGGAACTTTATCATTGTTGTTCATATTTATACATGTATGTTATTTATAAAGCTCTTAAGTACGTCACATAATAGTAATAAAAAAACAGGCAATGATATTTAAGAAAGTTTTGTACAGATATAGTTTATTTTAATAAAGATTTAGTTATTTTTTGGATTCTCCACATCTCAAACGCTACTAAAAGATTTCTAGCACTAAATAAACAATCATAGCTATTAAAATATCAATTGATTACTTAATTCTGGTCTTTATTTTGTTTTTTTTAAGCAAGAACAGAAGAGACTGTATATGTACATGGATGAATAAGAAAAGTGTTTATCATAGTTTTCTCTTATTTGAGTTGAGAATTACTGTAATTAAGTTGAAAGAAGATATATTCAACGATGTTTTGCAAAATGAAGCTTCCGTTAGTATTGAAAAATATGAGATTAGAATATTAAAAGAACAGAAAAATTAATAATTAAATGTTGTACATAACATATTTAAAGTTGTTATACATATCTTTCAATAACAATGATTAGGTTTGAAGTAATTAGCTCCTTTCTTTTAGAAAACGTATACTTTTATTAATCATTATATAAAAAAACAATAAATCGATGATAAATATTGAAATATAAACTAATAAAATTTATCATGAAGATATTAGACTGTAATACAACGGAAAAGTCGAAGAGGTATTCAATGTCAGTAGTTAAAAAAATGTCAGCCATTACAAAAAGTTTGATATATATACTATCAAAAAAAAAATGTTAGAAAAAGTGCTATAATAAATCAAAAAAATAGATAAAAACCAATGAATAGAGATCATCAAGCAAGTGAATCAGCTATTTTAATTATTTAAAATCTAAATATGTTTTTTTTTCTTGAATAATTATCAATCCTTCAAAATAGTTAACATAAATTTTTAATAGCGTTAGATTTGAAAAGTTTATAACATGATAAAGATCAATAAACGATATGTTGTTACAATGGGTGTAGCTATATATCTGCTTCTCTCTCTGAGCTAACGAAAATTAAAATTATTCTGTCCCAAAAACTAGGAAGTCATCAAGGCTAGAACAAGCATCTCATCATTAAGTTTATACCGCCGAGAAGAACTTCGAATGAATGGCTTGATAGCATCAGATCATATACTATAGGACCAAGAAATGAAAACACATGATATTTTAGCCTAGAGGATGGAAATTTTCTACCTTGAATCGTTCATATATTGAACTTTTCACATATTCAACGAAAAATATCTTATAACAGTAATTAATTGATTCATAACAGACTTTATTAAGCAAATCATAGTTGGTTAGTGAAATAAATCAAAAATAATTGTTCTAGAGTAAAAAAATGACTATATTGAAGCGTTGTTTGATCAAGTCGTCTGAATACCGCATATATGAATTATGCTGTATAAGTAATTTTCAAGTATGGCAAGGCCTGACCATATCTATAAACAATATATTCGGTAAAACCTCCCAATTCTCCTACGACAGAATGTGTATCTTTTGGTGCCGATACCAATTTTTGATTGGGTTCCGTCTGTTTTGAGATGATGCCTAACAAGACTTTATTGTAATACATAATACGTGTGTGATCTGTGAAATCCGCATCTGTATAGGCATGTGACTTTACAGGATTATCAGCGAAATATGCACCATGACCTAAATATTCGAAAAAATCGTTTAGACAAAAGCCTGTACATTCAATTGTATTAAGTATTTATCCTGGGCAAAAATATTTGTAACATGTGTACGACTTTTCATTAGGAGATTCTGCAACTTACATTTTTACAAAACAAACATTAAGAATCAATTTCTTTTTGTGATGTTACTGTGAAAAATGCTTAGAATACGACTTTTAGAGACTGAAACTCTTCGAGTAGATTCGAAAAGTATTTTCAAATGATCACGATGAATGATCACACGAGTGATCTGAAGAAGATTCTATCCATTCAATATTCATTATGTATTCATGGATAATGATAATGTAACTAATAAATTCGGATAGCACAATCTTCTATAGATAGGATTTTTTATCTTTGAAGATCTGTAATCTTTCAGTGAAATAAACAAATAGTCTTCTGTCTGAGATAGCCAATGCAATTAGATATGTCATGGTGATCTTCAAGAATTAACTCAATATGTTTTCAACATTGCTTTTCTTTTGTTGGGCTACTCTATCTCAGGGAATGTTACTGTGGAGAGACAATAAAATAGTTAGATAGAAGTTGACCGTCTCTTTTATCTTCTACAGAAGTCGTTACTACCGCTCATCATGTTAATACAACAAATGACTGATAATTATTCAATGAAGAATGAATGAATAGGGTTATTATACTGATTCCTAAGAGTCATCATTCATCACTCACCCCAATTGCCGTTTTCATTGAAATAACGATCGTCATAACCATCATCTCTGATACCATCGATACCAGGTCCTTTGGTACCATGATATAGTGGCAGTTCGTTCGGATTAAAACTTTTACATTGTTTAGCAATTAACTTTTTCATAGATTCATATGCATCCTCTAGCAGAGGATTTTTCACTTGTTCAATGGAAACAATTTGAACTGAATTGCCAATTTTTTTTTTCATGTCCGTTTCTATATCTTGATACAAGTTTGTTGATCGTGGCAATGGTACGAGAACGGCAGAATATTTTGGATTCGGACTTGGCACCACTGAAAACGGTTGTCCCAATTGTGTCCATTGTCGAATCTTTGTCATCTTGTCAACGCGTATTTGAACAAGATCATCGATTGGGCGAAGTATCTGAAAGCGTTTGTTTTTAATATTATCGACAATCGCTTCAAGTTCAATCAAATACGGTCGTTGCTGAATATCGACCCGCATACCTAATTCGTGTGTGTAATCTTTTTCTAATGACAAATTATTCACATCGAAATCAATACGGTCATGAGTTAATGCGACATGCGGCTCAATCAAGTCCATTGTAAATGGACCCGTTGGAGCATCTTCATCTATCAGCAATACATAGCGCCAATCTTGTCGAAAAACTTTACATGTGATATCGTACTTATATAATTCATCATGAAATTTTTCAATATCAAAGTAAGCGTGTGTAGGCAAATGACAATCTAAATCAGCCGGAACAACTTCTTTGTCAATATATGGTATCGAGTTAGTATATGAAATCCATGCTTTCGGATTTCCTAGAAGGTTTTGTGGTCGTGCCGTATAGTTGCCGACAACCCAATCGCGTACAAAACCACCTTCAAGTTTACATGAAAAAATACACACAGCTATCCAAGCCACGACTTCCATTCGCGTTTCACGCGTTGCTTGCGTGCCTTTTGCACCATTGTATAAGTCGATAGGTGTTCGTTTACTATCGGTAATGTGAGCAATTCGTTCTTCAATATCAAGATATTTAGATCGCACCTGAGGACGGAAAACGCGCGGAGACACACCTAAAATTTAACCAAACATGATTTCACTAGTTTGATATTCTTCCATTCTAAAACTCGATATAACTCAAGATGGCATTTGAGTATAAATGAGCGTTTACTTCCTTCAACTTCCAGAAAAAAAAACTACTCTTGAAAAAACTATTATGTAAACTTTTTCATTGAACAGGGGAAAAGCATTACTAGATTATTTGAAACCATGCGTCATCAGAAGAAATATTTCTAAGTTTCAAAAATTTTGTTTATATGTGTCTTCTAGTAAAGAAGAAGGTATTTTTTTGTCATACATATGATGCTCGAATCTTGAATAGGCAAACTCGGGAAGCTCATAACCTCGAGACATGAAATATCTACAATTGACATGATTTCAAGTTATCATTCTTAAGTACGAATAATTCATGCTAAGAGTTCTTCAAACTCTGCGCTACATCTTTGATAAAGTTTTTTTTCAAGGCTTTTGAGACAATGTATCGGGAAAATTGAATTTTTTGCGGATTGCACAAATTACCCATAATTATCGATGAGAGTCACTTTTTATCCTTGTCTTGTTTTCTAAAAGTTTGAATGGGTTTTTGTTAAATATAGTATAGGAAAAAACACCAAGTATCATGAATGGGAAATTTATACCAGACTCTTCAAATAAGCTAGAGTCAAACATTGTCAAACTTCTACGATTATTTGAACTGATCTGCTAGCGATTGTTGCAATAGTCTCGCTGGTATCGATGTATGACCGATATTTGAATTTAACTTACTCATAAATCTAGGAAAAAGAGTATTAAACCGTTCTCATTCTGATTGGTGGCTGAAAGCTAATGATTTTTATGAGCATAAGCAATTGAGATTGTGACTACTTTTTACTATTATCAATATTCTTGATAAAATCCACTATAAATATGAATGTGAATAGAGTAATCAACACCTGGGATTTAACGAAAATATATAAAAAAAAATTTATCTTATGGGTAGATAGAAAGTTGAATATTGGTATCTACCCATCGATGGCCAGCAGTACCCAAACCCATATCCTTTCGTCCATGTTGATGCCAAAAGTGAAATTAAATAAAAGGAAGTGTGAAGGACAATGCTGGCATGCGTTCTATATTCGCAAGATCTTTTCCTAAGCAGTGATGAATATCTACTCTTATTTGTTAGCGCTCTTTAAAAATGCTCAGTGTTGAAGTTCGTGCATTTCCATTATAGATCGAGTATTATTCTATACTTTGGTATGATATTTAGCGAAAAAGCTTTCGTGTAAAGAAACTCGAATTTTTTTTTCATTAAAGCTTTACATAAGTGGCAAAATCTGTATGAAAAACATTTTGAACAAAAAAAGAAAGAATTATAAGTTCGGAAAGTTCTAATATTGACAATATGTACTAAGAATTAGAAATAACTATGTAAGCTCTCATGGTTCATCATTCTGATCACTACTGGTCTTCAAAAACTTTCAGCATAGCTCCTACAGGATTGACATTTGAAACAGTATTGAGTCACTCTATTTAATAAATGAGAGCTCTAGCAATGGCAATCATTTTTCGTCAAGGCTCGATAGAGAGACCCATCGAAGTATTTGTTACCATTTACGGTGCTATGAAACTAGTTCATTCTGTTTCTCTATCAGGCATCAGTAGTGTAGACAGAAAGTAAATGCGTTGATTCACTTTTCTCGTTACATACTTCAGCTCTTATTGACAACGCTTATATCAAATAATTAAGGCAATGAATGTCATAGAACTGACGCAGAGGATCAGAAATTACTGAAATTTCGAGCTAAAAGTTACTCAGTAGCCTATTGTTTCGAGGATGAAATGATCAATCTGACTAAACGGATCAGATGATTGTCATTCTTGATTGCTTTACAAAATCGAATCAATTTCACTCATTTTTCAATCTCTTATGATGTTCTTATTCTTTATTATTTTTATCGCCTATTGAATAAATTTATTTGATTATCCGTTTTATTTTCTTTCAGGATTTTATTTCTTTGAAGTTTGAGACAATACCAAGGTTTCAGCATGAATATTCACGAAATCTCGTGATTAATTTCCAATATCACTAGACAGATAAGGTAATCGTTCACTTACCCGAATTCGGGTGTCGAATGACAGCACAATCCTGTAACCATCTCAAAAATGAATCGAATTCTTTTTTCACATTTTGATATTCTGAATTTCTTGCGTTCACTGTTATATCACAAGTCTTTGTTGATGTATTACAGTTAACTGTTATGATCACTTGTTTTTGATTTTGCCAACGCCATTGCATTGGTCTAAATATCTGCGGCATTTTCATCACACTTTCCAAATTTCGAGCTAGATTCGTATATTGTGTTGATTTAGGCGTATTTTTATTTTCTAATTGAAAGTGAAATTCTTCTACCATGTTTTGTCGAAGATGTAGTTCAGAGGTGAAAACAGTGCCTGCTGGGCCCGATAGGATAGCAGCTTTAGCTGTATTATTCAAAAGCATGCTAATTCGATGAGAGAATTTCGCTAGAGCATTTTGAAATATATTGTTGCTGTTTAGACGATTTTCTTCTTCAGAAGTTAATTTTAATTGACGCGTAATTCCATACTCAACCCATTCAGGTTTAATCTCACCAACAAATGAAAGTAAAGCTTTCGAACGGACTGACGTCGAATAACGAATATCTCGAACTAAAACGAAGGATGGAGGATCTTTGGTGGTTGCTCGAGCTAGAACGGACTGTGAATCTAATTCGGCAATATCTTTATCTGCTGAATTATTGTATCGAATATAAAGCTGAGATCTATCTTGTAGTTCCTTCATTGATGCAAATACATTACTAGAATATCCAGCTAATAGTGATTTGGCAATTAATTCCCAATCGTTTGATTTAATTTGTGCTTTTGTACGATAATCCACAGATAAATTAAATGCTTTTTCTAAATTTGTTTGACGTCTCAATGCTTGTTTTAAAATATGTTGAATACCGGTCAAACCTTTCGCTTTACAAACTCTTTCTAAACGAAAATCTTTCGATGGTACAGATTGCTTAACAAGTAATATTTGATCCATTACATTTAATAATGTCATAAAGTCGCCATCTGAACTTTTGAAATGTTGTGGTATACCTTTCAATACTACAGTAGTATTCAAAACGCTTAGAATAGATGAAAGAGATATCATATCACGACCACAATTATAGTTTTGCAGTGAAGCTAAGACGCATTTGGACATTGCCAATGAACCAAAATCTGGCAACTTGGCAAGTGCTATACCGTGCTGCGTTAGTGCTTCACTTGGAGCTTTTCCCAGAATGCCTATAAATACAACATCAATCAAGATTCAAACTTCAATATCAG